ACAAACTCCATGATTATGATACTTTGCAACAACATAAATAAAAGTGTGGTTTTATATACATAGTATAGCCAATACATAAATGTTTCGCAAATAAAAATTACATAAAACTAAGAGAAAAACTTAAAAGCAATCTACCGCGAAGAACCTGCGCATTTATAATACACTATTGCACGTCTGGAACTGAGCATGGAGCCCACTCTTGTCAGAAAAAAAAAGATTGTCAGCTATCCTTTTCTAACATGCCTTAACAACCTTGTTCGGAGTTACCCCGCGTTCGCCATTACCCGACTCTCCCCTAATCTAAGTTTACCATTATCAGTACTACTGCGATCAATGTTTGCTTAGATAATAATTCTTAAAACCAAGTATAAACACAGATGATGTATTTAATAATAACCAAGATAATGATAATTATGGATTTAAAACAAAAAATACCCCACCATTTATACCTGATTTAGAAAATTTTGAAAAGGACTTATTGCATTTAATTAAAACAATAAAGTTTCGCCCTATAAAAAATAAATTTCAAACAGAATTAAAGTTAGATGTTAAAAAAATTAAATCAAACCCAAATGTTTTGTTTTTTGCTGATAAAGCAAATAACATTTACCAACTCACAACAGAAAACTATGAAATATTTTTACGCGACAATATTACTAGTTCTTATGAGAAAGCCCCTAAAAAGTTGGAAAACGCAATTAATTTAGAAGCCCAAAGTATTGATAAAAAAATAAACCTTGATAACAGAATCGAATATACTGCCCCTGCCCAAGCCTTAGTAACACTAAAAGACCATAAACCAAACTTTCAAAACAAACTTTCTTGTAGGTTATTGGTTCCCTCAAAAAGTGAGATTGGACATGTAAGCAAAATTAAATTGGACAAAATTAATAAAATTCTTAGAAACAAATTAAATTTGCAACAGTGGAAAAACACCACTGATGTTATAAATTGGTTCTCCATAATCGAAAATAAAGATGGCTTTACATTTATTCAATTTGACATTAATGATTTTTACCCTTCAATAACTGCAGATATTTTAAATAAAACAATCGAATTCGCAAAAAGCTACACAGTTATTCCTGAAGAAACAATCCGTATAATAAAATATTGTAGAAAAACCTTACTTTACTTTAATAAGGAAACTTAGAAAAAGAAAAACATACATGACTGCTTTGATGTGACAACGGGCAGTTATGACGGAGCAGAAATTTGTGAGTTTGTTGGACTATACATTTTAGATTTATTAAGTAAAATAATCAATATAAATGATTTAGGTCTTTATCGCAACGATGGTTTCATAATAATGCGTAAAAAATCTGGTCCACAGCTCGATAAGATTCGAAAAGATATTATAAAAATTTTAAAAATATTGGCATTCAAATTGAAATAAACATAAATTTAAAAATTGTGAACTTTCTTGATGTCACATTTAACCTCTCTGAAAATTCATATAAGCCTTTCAAAAAACCAAACGATGAATTATTGTATATTAATATTAACTCAAATCATCCACCACAAATTCTAAAATAAATCCCGATTTCAATTAATAACAGGTTAAACCAAAACTCCTCTAATGAAAATGTATTTACTTCCTCCAAACGAATATTTGAAGATGCCCTTAAAAAAAGTGGTTTTGAAAATTTTGAACTAAAATTTGACCCTGATAAAAAATATACAAAAAAACGGAACAGAACTAGAAATGTAATTTGGTTCAACCCCCCATATAGCAAAAATGTTTCCACTAACATAGGAAAAGTGTTTTTAAAATTGGTCGATAAGCATTTCCCTCCCTCTAATAAATTTTATAAAATTTTTAATCGAAATAAAATTAAAGTTAGCTACAGTTGCACAAAAAATATGGAAAGAATTATAAAAAGTCACAATAATGCTTTGTTAAATAAAAAAGAAATCCTAAATGAAAAAAATACAGAAAATTGTAATTGTAAACAAAAAAACAATTGTCCAATGAGTGGAAGTTGTTTATCAAAAAATGTGGTACATAAATGTGTTGTTTCCTCTAAGAATGTACCCGATAAACAATATATTGGCATAACAGAGGGTGAATGGAAAAAACGTTTTTCCAATCATAAGCAATCTTTTAAAAATAAAAAGTATTCAAAAGACACCATGCTGTCAAAATATATATGGGAACTAAAAGATAAAAGTATTGATGATTTTATACTGAATTGGTTCATCCTTAAAACAGCGCCTGCATACAACAATATTTCCAAAAAATGCATACTATCTATAAGAAAAAGCCTACAAGAAAAATTTTAAATGTAATTAACGCATGCAAACCAAGAATGTTTGTTAAACAAAAAATCGGAATTGATTTCTAAATGCAGGCACGAAAATAAGTTTCTCCTAAAAAACTATAAAAATAAGTGAGCTCAAATAATAGTTACATTAAATCCCCCCCTTTTTTTTTAAAAAAATTTTTATATAAAAAAAAAAAAAAGCAAAAGTAATCATTTCTAAAGAACTCTTTTTATAATAGTGTCAGCAAATTCCACAAATGTGTGAAAATTTACAGTAGTTAAAACATTTGCGACTTCCTGTAATTTAATTTTTTGGTATAAATTGAAGTTTTATTAATATGATCATTCATTTCTGATGAGTCTTTGTTGATGAACCACAGTGTAAAATGAAAAAAATTTTTGTTAAGTGATTTTCTACTAATTTATAATTGCTCTGTTCTTTTAAGAACATTGAGCACTCTACTTTGTAGAATACATTTTTTTTTAAATTGTATATATATATATATATATATATATATATATATATATATATATATATATATATATATATATATATATATATATATATATATATATATATATATATATATATATATATTGTTGACTTTTTATGGTTAAAAAAAAAAAAATGTTTACCGGTCATGTAATCAATTAACTGGTAACTTTTTATTTTACTAATCTATAATTACAGTTCATTTAAACAAAAACTGATCGCACATTTTACAATACTACTTTGAAAGCTTGCTCTTGCGTTGAATTAATTTTCGTTAGTTTTAAAAAAGTTTTTTATAAATGAAATTGATAATAATTTTAAATAAAAAGGAGAAAAAAGCTAGCCAGTAAGCGCAATACAAATTTAGCTCATGAGAGCTTTAAATAATATAATTTTTTTTGCTTCAGGCTTTTTTAATATTTAAAGAAACTTTCCTTTTTTATATATAATTTTCAAAATTTCTTTACTAACTGTAAATGTGAATCTAAAGAACACCATTTTGGAGTCTTTAGATCAATTCCGCTCATCGGCATTAACATGAATTTAGTTAAAATCTTTTGAAAAAGTTCCTTAATTTACTTCTGATTCAAGTTCTAATCGGTTCTGACGTATGTTAAATATAAATAGGTGCCAAAACACAATATATCTATCCATTTTCACAAAAAAATAAAGAGCTATAATTAAGAAAAATTGGCAATAAACGATCAAGACAGGTCATATTATTAAACTATAATGTTCATTTCACCTAAAAAACGTATTTATTTAAAATCTTATTAAAATTTAGACAAGCGATTGTGATTTTAAGAAAAAAATTTTTTAAAAAAAAGAATCTTTGTTCTGGGTTTTTTCGCTATAAACATTTATATTTTATGATAGGACAGAATTTATCATTTAACTTTTTTTTGTCTTTTCGTAATTCACAGACCTGATCATTTAAAGGAAAGTATTTTTTTTTCTTTTTTTAATTTGTTATTTAGGTGCCCCAAGAAGGCTTAACGGTCTTGTCACAGAGCACCGCAGAAGTGCATATAAACAGAAAGTTAATGCCTCCTTCCTTACCATGACGCGAAATAAGTCCAAAGCTCGTTTCGAACCTGAAATATGTCGTAGTCAACAAAATATCATACAGACGCTATAATATTTTAAATTGCCTTAACTACACCGAAAATAATTCTGGTGAGAAGAGAAAAATTATCATGAAAAAACAAGTTTATAAGTAAAAAAACAATTTTAACAGTTCGGCAAACGTATTTTTAAAACTTTTATAACCATAACGATTGAAAGAATAATGTCAGTCAAATAACAGTGATTAACAGTAACAGTGATAATCTGTCGAGTTGTCTACGAAGAACTCTGCTATAAGTCCTACGTTATACGCAGAGGACAGTTTATGTCGGCACAAACTCGGAATCAGAGACTTATTCGAAGAAAACTTCTATTGAACAAGCTTTAGCACCCTGCAGTTCCTGACATATTATGGTTTTTTTCTGACGAAAAAAACAAACAACCAAAAAACCAACCGGAGAAATGACAAATGGTTATGCTCAAATCCTACAGAGGTTTCCCGTAATTGAATAATTATATAGACTCTTAGACTATATAACTAACTATTCAATAAAATCCCCGATCCAATTTTTTAGTTTAAGAGTCAATTAAGATTATATAAAAATTTCATGGAATTATAATAAATTTTGCAAAAAATATGAATAAATAAATTTTAATATCAATTTGTCCTCAAATATTGCACGCACCCAGTATTTACCAAGTGGGAAAAAAGACGTCGAAAAGACGTCTTTAAAAGTCTTATTTAAGATGTCTTTAAGACGTCTTTTTTTAATCAATTATGCAAATCTAAAAGACATCTTTTTCCGACATCGAAAAGGCGTCTTTTTTGTCTTTATCTTGTCGTGAAAAGACAATTAAAATTAATGCGTCTTTAAAACGTGGGGTCGGAACGACTTTTTTGTCATACTTTTTAGTATACTATAGTATCCTATACACTATAGTATTCTTACTTTTCATATTTGAAAAGCTTTGTTTATCAAATTAAAATGATAATACCTCTTCATACAAAGTATGGCAATTTCCAATGCAGAGAAAAAAACCTCTTCTAGATGTCAATATAAAAAAGGAAACATTTTCTACATCTTTTATATGTTAACAATATGTTAACATAGGAGAATAATTTATAAATAAAACAACAATATCGTTCAACAGAATATTTTTTCATCTTTCTCTTTCTCTTCTGTTTCTTGAGCGAGCTCTGTTTCTTGGCATTGTTGAATAAAATTAACTATTTCACGTCGAGAACTCCTTTCATACGAGCTGGTTACAACTTCTTAAATACAAGTTAATATAAAAATCAGTCTATTGCTTGAATGTAATGCAAAAAAGCAAATGAAACTCGATAAGCTGAGTGTAACACATTAGACCTACTGACTAATAATTCAAAAAGAGCTGATCCTTTTAACCCCCTCATGTTTCCAGCGCGGTCCTTTCTTTTTGAACCCACTAGGTTAGATAGAGACAGGAGTCAAACGGTAAGCAGTCTAAAAATATATAAAAATGAGTATGCTAAAGAAATTTACGACCATCAAAATGACTGTACAACGATGTATTTTATTATCTAATATTTAAACCAAGCTAAACATTTGCATCTCTCAGATTTACTATAAAAGCCAAGTTATTAAAAACAGATATTGATATTTTTCTGTTTTCTATGACGTGACTTTTTAATTGAATTTCGCTGAAATTAAGTGTTGTAGACTCGTAACAATTGAAAAATCCGTTATTGACTAAAGACTATCAAAACGAAAAGATAATTCAGCTAATACACCTTGAGAGTTGTTATTCATTTAAACTGGATAAAAGTATTAATCAAAGCTCTATTTTAGCCTGAAACATAATGATGCTTTACTTAACAACATAAAATCATAAAAACTGGCGATATCATTAGCAACACAGATGAAATACACATAAACAAAAATGAAGACTAGAAAGCTGCAATGATTTTTAGACATAAGAAAGTGTATCTTTCCAGTAAGGGAGAACTTGCACCCTTGATCCGTAAGCACATTTGATTCTATAGCGTTATCTCCATACTTACATAACTTATTAAAGAGGCCTGATAACTAGCGTGTTATTAATATTGTATCTTCAAAATTAATTATGTTTTGATTAGAGAATAGACCACTATTAAATTTATTTCTAAATAGTTTGATTTTGACGAAAAAAATAAAATATCACCCACGTGATATCCACGTATTTTTTTGTAAGTTAATAAAACTAGTTTTAGATGATTTTTATTGTCAATTTTATTAACGCAGATTTATATCAATAACTTTTGTCAATAACGTCTTTTTATAAAATTTATATTTTAGTATGATATACAAGATGTTTTTTTCAGAAAAAAAGTTTTTTTCAGAAAAAAAATTTAAAAAGTAGCTCAATATTTATAATAGGTTAAGTAAATAACTGAAAGAGTGTTTATTTTAGAGTGCTATATATACTTTCGTGCTTTTTTAAAAATACTACTTGACGTATTTTACAATCGAGCAAAACTCATTGAGGAATTTATAACTTTTTCAATAAAATCTCATAGCGTTATATATTTGTCAAGAATATCTCAAAAATATATTTTTTTAGGATCAACTATAGAGTTGATCCTAAAAGCTGTCTTGAGATTAATTTGAGCAACTGTAGCGTAGTGGTTAGCGCGCTTGCCCCAGAAACAGAGTTTCGTGGCTCTGGGCAAGTTTTATAACATCGGTAAGAAAGGAGGCGTGAACTTCCTTTCAAATGCTCTTCTGCGGTGCTCTGTGATAAGACCGTAAGGACTTCTTAGGGCACCTAAAATAAAAAATAAAAATTTACATAAGCCCTAGATATACAAGATTTCATGCAAATTCTTACAGATAATGTCAAGATATCATTTTACAATCAAACTTTTTATATTTACTTTGAACCTATATCAAACCGAAGAAACGCTAATAAAACAATAAGTTGTTGATATGTATGCATATATGTATATATGTGTGTGTATTTATGTGTGTGTGTGTGTATATATATATATATATATATATATATATATATATATATATATATATATATATATACATATATTTTTTACCCCACCTCAAAAATCCTAATTTTCCTCAATGTCACTAGTTTAGACTTTTTATTTTGAAGTCACTAGTTAAAAAAAAACCCTAAAACGACCTCCAAGACAGACAGATTAAATATTTTATTAAACGCTTTGTTGACATAACTATCATCAATCCGATATCTACAGCTGCGATGTGTTCTTTTCAAATGCACGCTAAAGTATAACAAAATTAAGACTTCCGCATTAATTTAAATGAAATGATTGCTCTACGTATATACATTTATACACTCAATGACGTAATTAAAAAATTGCTATTAAAAAATCTAAATTAAATAATTTAGATTTTTTAATAGCAAACCAGGTTTTGACTCTAAGGAAACTCAAATTAGTAACAAATTATTCGTAACAAATTATTTTGTTGTAACTTTGAGCTGTTTTGGCAAACTTATTTCGAAACTCTCTAATTATTTTCCAACTTATTGTGGCTCAAATAATTCATTTTACGCATACATATTTATATTTAATAACTATTGAACCGAAATCTACCTTATCAAAATATAGATTACTGGCAACATGAAATCCATTATCAAAGAGCACCGCATAAGAGCGTCAACCAAAAAGTTCGCATCATATTTCCGTACCGGCTCTAGCTTATTTCGCCAGAGCCGGCATCGAACTTGATTGCTTATGAAATTATTTAGTTACATAAGTTATTTTTACTATTTACATCGATACTTAATATAAAACAAGCCTAATATTTAAACATTTCACATTTGTAAAGGGTAGTTCGATAAACACAACTGTTTTAAATAATTTTTTATAATTTTGACACGCGTTAAAAACATTCAAAAAAATAATTATATTTTCTAAAAAAATGATATAGTAATCAATTACATTTTACAATTGATTACTATATAATTTAAGTACTTAACTTAAAAATATGAAACTCATATGACTAGGCCTCATAAGTTTTCTGTAAGTTTAAAATAAATACTTGTAAATATGAAATTTTGAATACATTTTTTCCAAAAGCCATCGTAATTACCAATTCGGTAATTATAAAATATCTTTTTGATAAACTTTTATTTATTAAAAGCAAAATAAAATAAAATTTTATCTAGCTTATTAATTATATATATGTATATATATATATATATATATATATATATATATATATATATATATATATATATATATATATATATATATATATATATATATATATATATACGTATGTATATATATATATATATATATATATATATATATATATATATATATATATATATATATATATATATATATATATATATATATATATATATATATATATATATATATATATATATATATATATATATATATATATATATAGAGAGAGAGAGAGAGAGAGAGAGTTTTTAATTTTTTAAATTTGCAAAAAAGAAAGAATTTAAATTAAAAAAATTAAAATAATTCTATTCAAGTAAAACATAGTTACCAAATATGAAATAATAAATTTTACAGCAAGTGTTTTATATAATTTATGCACAGTATATACATACATACATATATAAATATCTAAATAATAGTTAAAAAGTTGACATGGATGATTAGTTTATCAAATCCTCCAGTTAGTTGCCTTGTGGAGTGGACAACTTTTCCATTACATTAAATATATGCGCTATATATGTTTTCATAATTTTTGCTATTATGGGTTAGGCAGGAGTTTTTTCCTTAAAATGTTCATTGGCAAATTCAGTTAATTTATACTTTTTCTTCGACCTACTGACTCGTATTTCCCGTATCGATTTTTTAATTGAAGAAGTCTATAAACTTCTTTTTCTACGACCATTTCCAGATTGCATGCATCTGTTTCATTATCGCACAAACGTTCTGGTATTGAAGTGAGTTCTTGTAAACTTCGTCTGCGTTCAGTAATAAATGAAAATTCGTTCCTGTTTTTTAAATGTCTACATCTGTAGCAAGTTTTTAATGTATTTAAATTTGTGCAATGCATAAAAGTTTTGTTGCTGCAGCACATTATACATCTGATATAGTCAACATTGTTTGAATTATCTTGTAATAAGTTATCATTCTTGGTCTCTTCTAATTCTTTTTCTTCGTATTCTTCTTCTTCTTCTTGAATGCTTGCAACAATGTTTTTACGTGAACCAAAAAAAGAACTTTTCTTAGTTGAAGTGACAAATAATGTAGATTCTGAAAACACTGACATTTTTTTAGTGTTACCTTTTGTGTCATAAGTTTTGAGCTGATTTATCTGCATGATATTATCACTGGATTTAATCAACGGTTTACTACTTGACTTATGTAGTTTTTCCATTTAACTTTTATGGTCTGATATTTGTCTGTTATTGTTTTTACATATAATAACGAGGAATAAGATTATCTCTGATAACACGTTAAGTGACTGATAACGTTCTCGCTTGAAAGATAGTCATTTTGTTTTCTTTTGAATAATTTAGTGTTTGGTTTCTAATAAGTGAAAACGGAACAACAAAAATAATATAAAGTAATAACCAACAAATAATCTGCAAATATTTTGACGTTCACGGAAGTATAAATATCTGGATGACTTTTTTAGTTCCAGTTGAAAAAAAATATACTTTTGTATATATATATATATATATATATATATATATATATATATATATATATATATATATATATATATATATATATATATATATATATATATATATATATATATATGTGTATATATATATATATATATATATATATATATATATATATATATATATATATATATATATATATATATATGTATATATATATATATATATATATATATATATATATATATATATATATATATATATATATATATATATATATATATATACTATTATTTACAAATTCATTTATAACGGGAATAATTTGAAACAGTATTACTTATTCAGAACATGAGTCTTATTTACTTTCAACTTAAACCGTTTACTTTTCATTTTTTAAATAACAAAATAAATAAACAAACAAAAAAGATTTTATGTTTTAATTTATTTGTTTTGTTTTTTAAATTTTTGGTTTGCTTACTTTAGCTAATAGATTTAGTTGATTATTTGTTTATAACAACAATTTAATTTTCAAAATGAATTTTTAAAATGAAGTTTTAAAATTAATTTAAAATAGACTTTAGTTATGCAATATATTTCGCAATAAAGTTGGCTATCGAGTCTGCAATTAATGTATTCTGATAAACAAATTTAAACTTTATTTACCCTTTTAAATTTTTTAGATTATTTTTATTGCATAAAAAGATTTTTTTTTTGATGTAAGTTTTAGAGATTAAATTAATCAAATTGTAAAAAAAACAACGAATAAAAACAACGAATAAAAACAACGAATAAACGTCTTGGTCGTCTAGTGGTAGTAGCTGGAAGGAAGGGAATAGGAACAGCAACCTACTAACTACAACGCTTACAACATAAGAAATATTAGTTTTATACATTTAATAACTACAAAACTAAAAATGTATTAAGATAAACTTAAACAAATATTATTTTAATAAACAACCTATATTTTTAATTATCATTTAATAACTTTGAAATACAGAATAATAAAATAAGAATAGTAAAACGTTATTTTTTTTTAAAATAATAATTTAAAGTTCATTTAAAAAAATAATATTTATTTAAAGATACTCCACCCATTAAAAAAAAAAACATTAAAAAAAAAAAAAAAACTTTTTCCAGAAAACAATAGCCTCTAAAAGACTTGTTGGAGATAAAATAATAACCTCTAATTTTTGGAAATAAAATAATAACCTCTAATTTTTGGAAATAAAATAATAACATCTAATTATTGAAGATAAAATAATAAACTATAATTATTGGAGATAAAATTGTTTTAATATAAGATAATATGAACATAAGCAAACAGATTTCTTTTTCAAGACATTTGACAGTAATTAAAGTGTTATATAATATAATATTTAAATTATTATCTGCTTTATTAAATTAAAATAACAATATATTTTATTTCAAAATATATTTGTATGCATAACATTGGCGTGACTGAAAATAAAAACAAAATGCAGAACTTTATACTATTTTGCACGCTAAAAGAATATTTTAAAAACACGATGACATAGCAATTTTGATTTCAACTAAGCTTGCTAATTTTTGTTAAATTGGGCTATAATTTGAGAATGTGGGATCTATAAAATAACATTTAGTTGCAAACCATGGAAATATACTATTTGTAAAAAAAAATGCATACACAATATTTAAAATCATTATTGAATAAATTGTTCGGAAGTTCCAAATCAAGATTAAAGTTTTCCGTAACTTTTCTACATCATAAATACTGCATAACTTTAATTAATTGTAAAGGTTTTAAGTTGGATTGAGTGTTTACATTCGTGGTAAAGCTGAGGGTAGGAGGAGGAGGGGGTGATTCTTTTGTTGAGTTGGTTACATTTAACTAGAGGGCAAAAATCTCTTTTAAAAGTAATTATTTTCTATACTGATAATTTTGATTTTTTTTTTCAAAGATAAGCTTTTTTATTATTTTTTAATAGCAGATTAAGTTTTATTGATTTATTTGTAACTTATGTCTCCAGCTGTAAAATGTTTCTAGTCCAGTCTCCAAATGTAAAATATTTCATTGATTGAATTGAATAATTTGTTTTTTTTAATAATAAGCTTATTCGCAAATTAAAATTCTGAGATTAAAAAGCATAAAAAAATTTGGTTTTACCCGAAGTCAATACTAAAGTCAACAAGTTTACTAATCACACCATAACACCGTAGACTAAATAACATCAAATCAAAAGTCGACACATTTTGCGTCAATTTTTTAAACAAAATAATTAACATAATATAAAAATCATTCCTGCTTTATTTATTTCCTTAAGAAATGATGTTGCAATGTAACACATTGAGTTTTTCAAGTGCTTGTTATTTCCTGCTTCTTTATGTATTAAAGGTTTTTTGAAAAAACTGTTACACCTTTCTATTGCCTATTCAACTTTCTAAAGTTTGCTTTGAGCTCTGTAAAATGTTTTTTTATTTTCCACATCACCTTGAGAAATCAGGGCTGGGGATTTATGAACGATAAATCATTTATAAGCCTAAGTTTACAAATAAAATATGTAGTACATAAGTATGCAGGGCAAACTAAAATAAGGGTTTTTCTCTGCGATCGTAAAAATCGGTACAAACTTTTTACCTCCTCCCCTTTTAATTTTTTTATGTTTGCACAACGGGCATTGTTACGTCACTTACAACATATCGTATGGCGCTTTTTTTTTGTCAGGGTAAACTAAAAACCTGCGTAAACTAAAAACCTGCGTCCTGCGTCCACATAAATCACATAATAAAATGTAAATGCCATGCAAAAATATTTAAACTTTAAATAAAAATCTATGCCTAGGACACAAAAAGCAAACTTAATAAAACATAATTGACATTTTTTAATAACTTACATGCGAGAAATCAAGAAAACTTATTCTTTAGACCAAGAAGAAAAGTTAAAACGTATTGTTTTCAAAAATACTTTTTTTGATTCAAATATTTTTGGTAATTGTTCAAAAAGGATTATTATACATGATATAAAAAGATTTTTGTACTTCCGGAATGCTTTCTAAATAACAAGAGCTTAATTTTTTTTTTTACAAGATCACTGAATAAAAGACTTACAACAGCTTATAAAAATTATTTTTTAAAACTTATAAAAAATATTGAAAAAAATATTGAAGTTATAATACTGTAATTACTCTTAATTTACAAAAATTGCTAAAAAAAAATTTGAAGCCATCATCAAAACTTTATTTTTAAAAAAAGTAAAAAAAAAAAAAAATCATTGAAACTAAATATTTTTCATTTCGCAAAATAGTATTAATTAATTTTATAAAATTAACAGTTTTTAACCTTTATTCAAAACACAATTAAAAGCGTTGCAACTTTTGTATTTCAAACCAAACAATTTTACAAGAAAACAGGTTATTTGATTGTGCTCAAACTATAAGTATACAAAAATACCAATGTATCCAGAAATGGTGTGTTTAAATAATGTGAAAAATAAAAGCTACCATGTTATTTTTGAAACAAAAAAGGGACAGAGGTCATGCTAACAAATTTTTATCAAACAAATACTTCAACTTCAAAATTTTCAAGATGACTTAAATAGCCTTGTCACGGAGAACAGCGTGAATGAATAGGTTTACGTCACTTTCTTCGCCGATGTTGTTTTTATAGCCAGAGCGGGCATCTAACCTCAAATTTTTTGATTTTGAAACTTAAAACCATTTAATTCTGAAGTAGTGTTTTGGCTACAGCTGCTCATATTTACTCGATCCAACCTATACCTTGTATTTAATAAAATAAATTTATTATTTTGCTTAAGGGGGCATCTATAAAGTACGTACGCAGTAAAACCTTTAATACTAGACCCCTATATTTATATATGATTTATTAAAAAGATGACATCCCCTTATGATAAGTCATATATAAATTATTAATATACATACTGGTCAAACTGATTTAGGAGCCAAATAACTGGACCATCTTTTACAACAAAAACTTACATAAATAATATTGCAATGTGCAGTAGAAACACTCCATCGAAATAAGGGGCCAAAATTGTTTTTGTATTTATTTAAACATTAAGCCCTAATTAAGTAAAATAAAGTATTGAAATATTTTGTGTGTGTTTAAACTGGCTTAAGGGTATTCAAAAAATAAGACAAAAGTGCAATTTTCATCATCGAGAGAACAAATCAGTCTGCATAATTTTCGATACTTCTTAATTGACTTGATAAATTTATATTCTCGACTAACAACTATAAAGTTGTAATTTGTAAACGGTTCAAAACTTTATTCATTATTATTGCTTTTAATATCCTCATCTACCTCTTTATCTAATTGTAGATTTTCTTCAACATTATCAATATTTAGGCATAATTCCTTTAAGTTATTAATTTAATTTAATTCTATATTAAATGAGCTTTTACAATAACCTAGTAACAAACTTTCAACTTTAACAGATAAGCTTAAATGTTTCCTTTGTTTTGATTTTCTAGTTGTGCGATTAAATTAATTAAGGAGTCTGAAGTATAAATAGCTTAAAAGAAATTGTTGAATAAGTTTCTCCAAAGGTGTACACAGCATTTTAAGCTTACCCTGTCAAAAGAAAGTTTTTTGTGCAATTGAAATTTACATAAATATGCATAGATAAATGATTGTTTCGCCCAATATCAGGGCTCATCAGCATGCCTAGGAATATCTTTTAATCCAGACATGGACAATCAAAAAAGTAATGAGCAGAAAAAACTTGAGTCAACAGCTTTTAATTATGTTTAGTATAAAATAAGTTCGAACAGCATAGAAACTCTTTCATGCAATTGGTTGTCATAAAAGTCATGTATGTAAAAGGATTTTAGAAAATTTTAAAAAATTTAAATTTCTGTGTAATGACAAGTTTTTTAAAAATAGTTTTGGAAAGTGAAGTATCAC